TGTTTCAAAAAGATGAATTGCCCGCAGATTTGTGTACAGGATTTGTTATCTTCACTCCTGCTCTCATTCGTCGGGGTGCACACGCATCCCAGGACAGGGGTGTATGCCCGTCTGTTCGGTTATATCGAGACTGGTAACAAATGATCTCTCATATGATTCACTTGACTGATAACAGTCGTCAAATCGCCATTCCGAAAGAGGGTCACAGTTAATGAAAATCTTTTAATCAATGAATGAGAAATTTGGGCGACGATGGTGGGAGTTCAACACTCTAATAACATGATAATAGGTTGACGACCTATACCGCTCGATTGCCAACCGACGAGCTCCCAAGATAATGAACGAGGCGTGGATAACGGCTGAACTTATTCTTGCACTCGCAATGCCATTAATCCTCCGTGTTTTTCCATAATTTCTCGGTATTTAACTCACTCGTATTGATCTCGCTGTGTGTAATGATGTGATGATGATGAAAATTTAACGTTTCGTTTTTGGATCTTCTAAACTGATTTGTCCCCTCGAGAGCGTGCTCCTATAAGTGCTAAATCGTGTTAACTCCATCCCAGGAAACTGATGTAGACATTCAAGTGATTGCCGAATCCGGCTAACTTCGTTATTCGTGAGTGAAAACAACTCATAGACATACTGCCAAGTCGGTTCCGGATTATCTGAACTTTGAAATTGCTTCATTTATGAAACGTAGCTGACATTAATTGATTCGTGAACAATACCCTTTCACGCACACACACACACACAAACTCGTTTCGCGAATAGTCTGCTTGAATTTTTAGTCGGGTTCCTATAAAGGCTATGGTCCGGCTGGTCCACTACCTGAATGTTTCGTTGTAGCAGCCAAATTCGAGTGAGGTAACCTGGATGTCTGGAGATTGTTCTGCGTTTCAAAACCATGGTTTCCAGTCGGTTTTATAGAATCACGAGGAGCAGCAAATCATTCATGATGTTGATCTAAGAATAATCTGTCTGATTCGGTTCAGCTGAGACTGTAAAAATGTTACGCTGGCTCGTGATAGAAATTCGATGTAGAACCAATGGGTGAAGACCACCTTGTCAGTATTACATCTGAGCCAAGGATATCAAGTACTTTCGGGTTGCTGAAAATCTCATCGTTCCATTCAAGACTCCAGTTGATACATGGAACTTCTACCCACGCAGCTCTACTGGCTGTTGTCCATGACAGTGAGGTCCCGCGTTCGATCCCCAGATTGGGTTGACGGATTCACGCATTGCTGATGAGACCCAACCAGGTTGAAACAGCTGTCCAGTGTTTCCTGACTTTCCAGTTCACGTTTCATTAACTCTTGGCACGACGAAATTCACATGTAAACGAACCAAATCCTCTAGTTCTCCTGCAGTTTCGTCAGCCAAAACGGTACAATCAATCTTCGGTGATCGACGATTTTTTTCTAAAAATTTGTCAATACTAATACACTCCGGTCTCTGTAGACTGTTTCGGAGGATTCACTTCAGGTATCCCCAAACCGCGTACCGGGTCCGTGAACTCAACCCCGACGCATGACAGTGGTGATCATCGTGTGCCATGTGTATAGTGCTCACCATTACCTAACTGGACACCACGCAACAAAGGGCTGCATCCAGTGTGAGGTCGATGACATTTCCCACTCCAGGAGTATATTATGTTTTGGTTGAAATAATTTTATCAAAATCGAATTCCGTTTGATTTTCTTATAATCGGATTTGTATAGTCCTCCTACCTGGTCATATCGATCTATAGGATTATCTACAAGTCACAAATCGCAAGATTGCCAAGGTTTACAGAAGCGATTGCTATCAGCCGATGGAAGCTCCTCTTTTTTCAACAAAAATAACTTTGTCAGTTTATCCTTACCATGGTGATATAGTCCCTCTATCCCTCCCTTTTTATCTTTGTCTATTTCATTGTATTTTACTTTTCTTTGTTGCCATGCTAAAACCCTATATATAAATATTGTATTTTCTGCGGTATGCACCATGTTGAGAAGCAGCAACATCGTGCTGAACATAAATCGTGCAGTATTAAAATATGGTCTTTTCTTTTTTGAAATTGGTCTTGAGAAACGCTTGCTTCATTCTATAGGTGGTTTGATTCCTGAGTAGTTGAAGAAAAACAGGATGTAGTTAGCCGCATTTCTCGCACTGTATGACAGATAAACAGTTTTTTCACTCCCGTGTATTAATTGGAAACTGTGTAATCGATATTCGCCGGGAAAGCAACAGTGATTGGTTTTCCTGGTCTGGCGCGTTAGCATCATTTGATTAATCCTCGGTTGGCGTTTTGTTTTTATACCTGTTTCGGTAGTTCCGACTATACCGGACCGAAATTTCAGTGGAAATTTAGTGCATAGAAGTTGCTAAATAAATACAACAGGTGTTCATAACTAAAGGTGAATATTTTTTTCGTATAAACGAATTCACAGCCGCATTGTTTCTCTACTGTTGTTCTTGTATTCACTATTTATTTTTCTCCACCCGGTTGAGTATTTTCGTCGAAATTCTTTATTTGCAGGTTCTGCACTTGGTTTGCTAACTTACGCAAATCGCCGCAATCCGAGTAAGTTTGCCTGTCTTCTCTCATCTTAGCGTATCCGCGAGTGTTCTTCTCTCCGTTACACGCTTTCCGGTACGATGTACTGTAGAGCCTCTGGTTGTAATTGAAATAAGCCTCTTGTGTTGAACCCGGTTTGACTGAGTTATGATCCCGATTATATAACCTTATCTTAACCGAAGCCCGCACGACTGCAGAATGGCATGCGTTTTCTGATTGAAACGAGAATCATACATTGCAATGAAAAACTGCCAGTTTTCATAACTCTTTGGTCCGTGTGAAAAGATCTGTCCAGCGCATTTACCACAGGTCAACCGTGCATTGGGTTCACACTAACTATGGTGAATGAGTGCGGTTGGGTTGAGAGAGCGAGAGCGAGAGAAACGAGTAGAAACAAACGCATTTGATTTGCTAGTGCCCCTTCCCTCCTTCTCCCCCAAAGTTTTGTGCCATATTCAACACACATGCATGCCTCTCCACCCCCCCCCCCCCCCCCTCCGCGAGGGAATTTTTTTCGATCAGAGGAGTTGTCCAGACACTCTACTATTCTGTTTTAATTTGCCATGCTGCCTAGTTGTACCGTTCTTTTTTTCCTACTGGCTGTCTTTTCCACTGGTCCACTCCTTGAATTGATTGTGTTTGCCTCAAAACCAAGTAAATTCGCATATTCAAAACAGCAATCCTAACGACTAAGTCATAGTGAAACAATTCGAGAGCTTCCACCTGTTAGAAATGTTGTCTAACCACTCACAGCCAACAAAATGTTTGGGCTCTACTGCGTTGCTCTTTGTATTTGGAATCCACAATCATATCCGTGCTCTACATAGATTCGAACTTTCGCGAGATGGGGGGGGGGTTCCACAGTAAATGTTCTATGCGTTTCTCTCTCTCACACACACACACACTCCCCACAGATCAGCACTGCTTGGGTTAGCGTTTATTGCTCAATGTAACTATATGTGTCGTTTTCATTATCCGATTTCTGATTTCTTACCACATCACCCTGCCCTCTCGCCTTATATCTCAACTTTCATCAGCATTTTAATCATCCCATCTCCCTACGGTTATTTCATTTGGCCTTTGCCTGCATGACTCTAACATTGATTCCCACCACTCTTGACACATCCGCTTGCCTCTGTCTTTGTTATAAACTGAGTTGTAATCGGTCAATCAGACATCGTTACTCTGGTCCCCTGCCGTATATGTAACCGCCTGATGCGATATAGGGAGAGGAAAAATTTCGCAACGAACACCATTTTCTATATTATTTATGGGAATATTCGCCGAATTAAAAATAACGATCAATTACATCGTCACTAACTACTGAACGCCCAAAAATTGATGCATAGTAATGACAGTGGAAGAGTGCTATGCCGGTGGACAGCCACAAAGCAACTATACGATTGTGTGTGTGTGTGTGGGTTGGCCTAA